GGACGAAATTTCATCCGTTAGATCAATTGAGATTGGTTCTTAGTTCTCATTATTCAATATATATATATATACGGGGAGGTTCCGCTGAAAACAGAGCTTATGGTGAAAACTAAAAACAAGCAATCTTAGCCATTGAATGTTCACTAGATAATCTGATGGTGTGAAACAACCAAAAGGTGACTATATACAAAAATAAGGTAATTATATCAATTTATAATAATTTTGATGACATTTACACCGAGATCACTATATATAGAAATAAGGTAATTATATCAATTTTTACAATATTTAGTTAGAGGTCACTATATACAAAAATAGGGTAATTATATCAATTTTGACCACATTTACATAAAGGTCACTATATACAAAAATAAGGTAACTATATCAATTTTGACCACATTTATCAAAGGTCACTATATATAAAAATAACGAAAGCCACTATATATAAAAATAAGGTAATTATATCAATTTTGACAACATTGACCACATTTATATGTATGCCTATCACTCAAGTAGCTCCACCTCCAGCCGCACAACCAGCTACTGTCGGACCACCCTATAACCAGCAGCTCGCTACCGCACCAAATCTCGTCCGCAGCACCTCTCACCAAACACCAATTCGAGCAGATGCAACTCCCGAACCACACCACGAGCAGCCGCCTAAGCAAACACCATCAATCGTAGCAACAAATAGCAAAAGAATATCAATTGCAAAACCAAGAAATCAAATCTGATGCATAAATAGCAAAATTATAACTATTTTAATGCAAATTAAGTGTTAGCACTACATACCAACAATGATATACAAATTTTAATGCAAGGAAAGCTATAATTTTTCAATAACTTATTTTGATGTCCTACGTAAAACAATAACTATTTTACACAACTCTACCAATTTATTTTGCCGTCTAGCAATGATCCAGCTGATCAATTTTGTAGTTTGAGCATCAATTGTATACCAAGCATCATTGAATAAAACTTTGAAAGAGTATTATGACAACATTGGACTTCAACACATTAGTTGTTCTTAGTTTCCTCATATAATCAGTAATACAATATCTAGCAACTAATCTCATCAGTAAAATTAGTCAACCCACACAAAAATAATTATAGGCTCAGTTTGTCTATTCATTACTGCCTAAAGTAACAGGGCGTCATAATAGCTATGTTTTAACAGTACATAATCTACCAAACCTAGGTCTGTTAATCTCTCTCCTCCTATACTCTATGCAATATAAAGATTTCGAGGAATTTTTGGTGCTCTAATATCACTAATTAATAATACTATCCAATTTTACTCAAATCAAGCTAAAATCAAACAAAAAATCAAGCTAAAATCACACATAAAAACCCAATTTACACAAATTAAGAAAAAAAATATACAAATGAATCTCAAATAATACCATACAAAAAAATTAAGTTGAATTTGAACATAATTTCCCAAACCTAGGCCTGCTAATCTCTCTCCTCCTCCTATACTCAACAGAACACAAAACCATATGCAAAATACTAGTGTTCACAAACACTTTGATACAACAGATAAATCCAATTATAAACATGATATCAATTCAAAACAAGCTAGAAACATAATCATATGAGAGAGAAAATCAGATTAACACTCGCACTTGAATTCGGAATCAGAATAAAATCGAGTAACATAAGCGGTTAACAACTAAAACCTGATAAATATTATCTTAAATCGATTAGAATTTTAAAAACCAGCAATTATCCAAGTTCTTAAATCAAAGATGCAAAATCAAGCTAAAAATCAAAACCCTAAGTGAGCGAAAATCAAAGTAACAATAATTAACTGCAGTTTACGAAAGCAAGAGAGAAAATGCTCTAAAAACATATTTTACAAGCTCGTATCAGCGTTCTTCAACAAAATCATCAGATTCGTACAAATTCTAAGATACAAAAATATACACAAATGTAGATCAAAGAATGCCATATAAAGAAATTAAGTCAAATTTTGACATAATTACACTCTTATGAAACGCGAATAAGCATGAAAAAGCTCAAATAAAGCGTAATTACTGCTACATACAACTCACAATTGAATTCGTGACAAAAGAAAATCGACCAAAAATTACACAAAAAAACCTAATCTACTAAAATCAAGCAAAATCACACAAATGCAGCTCACAACTACACCACAAAACTGATTCAAATCAAAACTCAAGAAAATCTAATCAAAAAATCAGTTTGATTTCCAAAAACAACCATAGAATATACCAAATTAAACAAAATCATAAACTAAAAACTCACTTTTTTGAAGCTAACGACGAAATTGATGAAGATTGAAACAAATTCTAATGGCGATTTTGATGAAATTGAAGCAAATTCTTCTGTGTTTAGTATTTCACTTTTTTGGGAGAAGGAGAAAGAAAGAGTGAGATGGAGAACGTGAGAAGGAGGAGAGAGAAAAAAATAGAGTAAATAATAGAGGAGAGAGAAAGGATTATCAGATATCAAGAAACAAAACCCAGCTTAAGATTATCAGATATCACGCAGATATAATCTCATCCGTCGATTAAAATTCAATGGTCTAGATTATCTGTTTTTAGTTTTCACCTTTAGACTTGTTTTTATATGATCCATTCCCTATACATATATATATATATATATATATATATATATATATATATAGGGTCGGGATCCGGTGAGAACCACCCTCTATGTGAGAACACTCCTAATATATGAGAACAAATCTAAGCCGTAGGATTAGATTAAAGTAGACGGTTAAGATCAATGGAGAACAAGTAATGGCATTAGTGTAAATAATGAAACTGCCCAACTTCATATTTTACCCAAAATGTCTGATTTTCTCTCTTATCAAACACTTTCACACTTTCCTTCATCTTCTCTCTTAAAACCACCAAAATTTCTCTAAAATGCATTGTAACTGCTCCAAATCAAAGCAAATCACATCGATTCCTTTTGATTTTTGCTTAAATTCAACGAATTTTATTCACAAACTTATATAAAATAAGTTGAATTGGCAATTTAATTAGAATTTTTGCAAATACGAACCCTACTTTGGCGGAAGAACAAATTGAAGAAAATTTGGAATGGAGGTTGGCGAAGAACAATTAATTCGTACAGAAATTTGTTCTGAAATGCAACGGTAACTTATACTCCAATATTTTCAAAGATTTTGATGATTTTTTGGGCGATTTTCGACTAATATTTTGTATACTATCTCATTGTGTTGTACCTATTCGAATTAATATTTGTTGTTTGCTTGACATGCTTTGAATTAATATTTATGCTTATGTTCTAAATTTATATCTATTGTTGTATGATTTGTTGGTTCGTGTGAGATGGAGGTGGCTGATTCAGGTTGTTTGGAGGGTTGAATTGAGAAAACTGGGCTGAGTTTGTGTCGAACAGATTATCAGTGCCTAAGCACACAAACTCGGTGAATTTTTATGATACTTATGAATATCCTGATAGTGCATACAAGGTGTTTGATAAAATGCTTGTTAGAAATCATGTGACTTGGTACTCTATTATCAGTGAATTTCTAGTAGTGGACTGTATTTTAGTCGTGGTAATTGGTTTCCTTGGGTTTCCTTTCCTTTTCTCATAATCTTTTATGAACCACCTGTAAGGACTAGGTGCGCAGTTAGATACTTGTATGAAATTTTGTGTTAAACTTAGCATTTGGGTTTTGTGTTTCTTGGAAGTACTAGATTGATTGGTATGTGATCCAGTATATTTGGATCTTGGTTTGATGTTAATCATATACTGTCGTGCTCTGACTGTAGCAGAGAAAAAGATTCAGAATCGTGTTCACTTCATTAATAAGACCCTGACTGTAGCTCTGTATCTTGCCGGAATTGATGTTCTTGTCAAAAACTCACAGGTACTTGCTGCTAGCATATGTACCTTGTATTGGAGGAGGCTTTTGCTTAATTTTGTTCTGAAATCAATGTGAAAGTTTTTTTTTTGATAATATGTTCTTGTCCAAAAATCATAGGTACTTCGCTGCTTGTTTTGATAATATGTGATGAGCAACGATTCTTTGTTCATGTATCAAATGAGCAACAATTCTTTGCTCATTTATCAAATGAGCAAACAATTTCTTGCTCTTTTATCAAATGAGCAAACAATTCTTTGCTCATTTATCAAATGAGCAACAATTCTTTGCTCATTTATCAAATGAGCAAACAGAACAATTCTTTGCTCATTTATCAAATGAGCAAACAATTCTTTGCTCATTTATCAAATGAGCAACAATTCTTTGCTCATTTATCAATTGGGCAACATAAGGTGAAAAAATTTAGAATAGAAAAATAATTTAAGACATATATTTAGAGCTTAGGTAGAAAATTCTAGAGCATTAGCGAAAAATTTCAGAATGGTTGCAGTAAATTATGGAACATATTCAGTAAATTTTAGAACATATGCAAAAACTATCTATAACATATGATAAAACCTATTAGCTCAATTGGTAGAGCACTATGAAAATGCATAGGATGTAGGTTCAATTCCTATATAGGTTATAACTATAAATAACTAAAAAAATTAATTAAAAATAAAGAAAATCAAATCAGCAAAAAATTATATGAGCAATAAAATGGTTTGAAATGATTTATAACTATATAAGCTTTGTTACAATTAAACTCTCATACAAACTTATGTCTCCTCATTACACAAATGAACCTACGTAGGATTCGAACCCACATCTTTTGTGCATTTGCACAATGCTCTACCCTTGAGCTAGTAGGCTAACCTATTTAAAACATTTAAATACACTCACAAATGAGTATTAATTTGACAAAATGAGCAAGAATCATTTGCTCATTTGACAAATGAGCAATAAATAGTTTGCTCATTTGACAAAGGAACATTTAATTTTTTTGCTCATTTGACAAATGAGCAAACAATAATTGCTCATTTGACAAATGAGCAAAAAATTAATTGCTCATTTTGACAAATTATTTGCTCATTTTTGACAAATTAGTAAAGAATAAATATTAATTTTTGACACTGCATTCGAGAGGAGTCTGACTGACTTTCACCATTCTCTTCGTCATCAAATTCATCATACTCAGAATCAAGGGAACCATCCTGAGCTTCATTCTCATCACTATATGTATTGACTGAGTCCATATAACAAGTCATGTGATATGCATGACAGCAAAAGAAAATGACAACCGAAACATTTTGGATGGAAAAAGGATCAAAGCATATGCAACATCTGCCTCCGACCCTAGTCTTGGACTTCAAATCCATGTTTTTGAAACCTGGTGGTTTTGCAAAGGACTCTTCCATCTCTCTTAGTTCTAGCCTCATCCTCTGTGTTATTCATATAAACCGCTTGCCTTGCTTCTTTGTAGTACTTAACCAAAAGATTGACGATATCAGCCTATTGTTCCCACCAAAACAACAAATAATTTCAGTGTAAAGTGAAGATGATTTAAACAGCAAGGCTACTAAATTGAAGAATTACCTTTAAAATATCATTACAACCATGTCTGAGTGAGGTTTCGGTTCTATAGTCAGTTATGATTTTGACCAATCGATCCCCGAGCTTGTAAACCAAAGTACTTTTAAGAATAATATAATATTGACTGCTATAATGTGTCTTAAAGATTTTAGCGATATTATAATAAGATCTGAAATTCAGTATCACGAAGGAATGATGAATGTGGTTACAGGTGCCTAAAGTACAAAGTCTATGATGATACTACAAGATCAGTTAAGTGCAGATTTTCAAAGATGGCCTGGGAAGTTATGGAGTATGGAAGAGTGGAAAAAATGTTGAATGTTTTGCCTATCCAACACTCGGGTTATTTAGAAATCACAGAAAGGTGGCCTGAGGATGAGAAGCGAGAGAAAATTCAAGAAGGCAAATTTTAAGATATTTGATGATGGGAAATGGGAAGTTGCATATGATGTTGAAGTGGAAGAGACTAAAAATGAATGGATGATATTCCAACATACTGAGAGGAAAAGACATATAGAGCTTACTAAAGACATACAATGATTGACACGAAACGCAGTCTGAAAACCATCTACATTTACAAGTACTACAAGGAAATAACAATACTAACCTAGGTATTTCCAGTCCATCAGGCACAACATTCACAATATGAAGAGGATCAAGGTTGTCAACAGTATGTTCCAGCAATAATCCAACCTGCAAACAGGAAAAGGCAAGCATGTGAAAAACAGAGACGATGATAGTTTCCCACATAAATGGTTTAGGGGAAGGAATACAACAATTTTTATACCATTTCAGGCCTATGGGTAGATTTCTTTGCTCATTTGTGAAATGAGCAAACATTTCTTTGCTCATTTGTGAAATGAGCAAACATTAGTTTACTCATTTGTCAAATGAGCAAATAATTAGTTACTCATTTGTAAAATAAGCAAACATTTCTTTGATCATTTGGGAAATGAGCAATCACTTTTTTGCTCATTTAGCAAATAAGCAAATAGTTAGTTGCTCATTTGTCAAATGAGCAAACATTTCTTTAATAATTCATTAAATCAACAAGCATTTAATAAGAAAACATAAAATGAGGAAATAAGAAAACACGTACATTATCCTTTCCACAGGTACATCCGTATAATCTTTAGCAACCGAAGAATCCATAACACTGAACAAATCTACAATTATAAAACAAATCCGAAAAAAAAATGTAAGCTAACTAAAACAAAGGAAAAATCAAATTAAGAAGCAAATTTGTAAGAGAAATAAAGAGAGGGAAGGGGGGATTCGCCCAAAAAGCTATATTTGTCTTTAACATATTATAGAATGGCAGCAACAAGTTCCATGCATAGAGGTTCCAGCACAAAACAGCCAATAATTGAGCATAAAGTTGAGTTTTGGCCTTTTGTGATTTAACAAAAATTGTCAGCATCACATTATAAAGTGTTCTGCATTAATCCAGCAAGCAACAAGCAAGTACAAGCGTTGATTGGATTTAGAATCTTGTTTGTCCTTTACTTTTGTTAGCTAGCTATTAGATATGCTTCCTGCCTTCCATAATAAACTGAGTTGTATCAGAAATCGATAGTAGGTTTACCTTAGTTAATATTATATCCTAAATTTTAAATTCTTTGTTTTAGGAAAAGCCTATATAAGAGGCTTTAGGATGTAACTATTGAATGGCTCATTTGTTTAATCATATTGGTATTTGTTCCTAAATTCTTTTTGGAGAAGTGTGACTTCAAACATGAGAGAGCATTGTAGTGAATCAAAATTTAGATCAAACTAGATAGGTAAGTGAAGCCTCTTTAAATTAGTCTAAAACCCCTCTAAATTTGAAATCTAAGTGAGTGAACTTATAAGTCAAATTTAAGACAGAGATCGGCTAATAGCCTACAACTAGGAGGTTCAAGTGTAAATCAAGGCTAAACTCCAAATTTGGAAATTATGAAGTTCTAAATTGATATGTGCTTTTACCCCCACAGAAACCAAATAAACTGGTTTAGATGGTGCCTTTGATGAAGAGAGCGACAAAAATCAAAGCCAAAATCACAAATTTGATATAATGAAACTATGTCCATATGCGCTTGGAGTTCTATACATCTTTTCTCCAGAGAAATTCTCTCATCCCCGCTCCTTCCAAAATTAAAAGCAAAAAGAAACCATCCAAAAGACACATAGAGAACCTTTAATATACTAACATTTCAATTAATCAATGTCAATATCCATTCTACGCATTCTAAAAGTAACAATCTATTTGGTCCAAGGAGATAATTATCTTCATTGGTTTTATTCAACATTAATAGACTCCTTAGAGGCAAAACATTACCATTACAGGAAAATATTTCTTTTCATTACTTATGGAGGATGCAAGGGAGCTTCAAATTGAAAATGTTCAACTTATTCAGCTAAATTTTCCCATTAAAAACTTTATACCATAATATTTTAACCACTACCATTGGATAAGTCAATTCTCAATCAAGTTATGTGGAAATGTCTAACAACCAATAAAGCTCGGATTCTACGAATTCTTATTAATGTGTCACTAAATTACACATATAATTCATCACCAAGTCATGGTGCTAAAGAGTGCATTTCTTATACGTGTAGACATGTGGCATAATAAAAAATTCACAAATAAGCAATGATGACTATTAACCAGATGCACTTAATGCAAGATATAGAATAGCAAGCAACATATCAGATAATAGTGAAAAAGGAATTACCTTTTCAGGTGAGACTGAATCAAACACATAAACCTGACCCTGAAATGAAAGAGTTAGCTGATTGTTATTGCCATTAGCCAGTGGCGTATCCAGGAATTCCGAACTGTGGGTTCGAAATCTTAAAAAAAAAAAAAACGATGATCATATTTTGATTAAAAATTCAATACATAAATCAAATTTTTATCACGGATGAATTACACAATAAAAAAAATAAAAAAAAACAAAAAAAAAACCTACAAAAGCATTCTTCGAGTTTTCCTACTTTGAAAGCGTGCTAATACATCATCATCACTAACTCTTGCAAATAAGTCTCTCTCAATATAAGTAACTAAACTATCATTCAATAGTTGATCACCCGTACTATTCCGCAACTTATTTTTTACATAATACACAATTAATTATCAATTAAAATCACAAGTCCCCAATAAACACAAATTTGACAATATAAACTTCTTCTAATTATCAAATTTCAATTAACAGAACAAGTAAAAATTTTATTTCAAAAAAAAAAACAAGTAAATTTTTTTTAATTCTAACTTCTAAGTTTCTACAATTCAATTTCTCAACAATTCAAGAATTCAACAATATATCAAAACCATAAACCAATTTAAAAAATAAAACAAGCAAACCAAGACTAAGAATTAATAGGAGTAGAGGAATAAGAGATTAAGAGGACTCACAATTGTAGAAGAACTCTGAAGTCTGAATTCAGAACAGTCGTCCCTCGTCCGTGTCTCCGTCACTCCGTGAGGTCGTCAGTGCTCCCGGTCGCCGGTTGGTGTCTCGGTGTGCGGTGCCGCGGCGGCTAGTGGCTACTGGCTAGGGTCATAGGGTGTCAAGGTTAGGGTTTTGGTGTTTGGGAATTTGGGGAAAATAAGAAATGTCGATGTTTGATTTCTGAAATCTGAAATTTGAATGTAAGGAGTAAAAGAACAAAAAAAAAAAAGTACAAAAAAAGTACAAAAAAAGAGGGCAATAGGAGGCGAACCTAAGACCTAAGACATTAAAAGGGCGCGCTGCTCTATTATTCAAAGCCTTACCAATGCACCAAACTTACCCATGTGATTATTATTCTCACAGAAATTTGTATTAACCCTTTTTCTTTTTTTTTTAAAAAAAAAATTAAAACTTATAATTTTTTTCCAAAAAATCTATGGGTTCAATGAACCCCCTTGAACCCCCCCTAGATCCGCCCCTGCCATTAGCCACCATCATTCCACCATGGGTATCAGAAACATTTCCAGGGTCATTATGGAGCTCCCCATCAATGCCTTCACCTACACCCGTAACACCATCACCATGATCATCCTCCATCACATTCCCATTATTCATATGATGCATCCCATGACTTTGGTCATGCATATAATGTACATGCATTTGTTGCTCAGCCTCAGTCATATGCATTTGGGCATCGTTGCCTTGCAAATCATCCATATTGACAACAACCCTTTCTTAACAATACCAGCCAATAAATTGTAATTAATATACAGTCCCCTGCCTTCTTATTTCACTCCTCCCACTTAATATATGTTTACAGCAATACAAGCACTGTACTTGTTATACATACACAAACATCTCTTCCTCATTACAGCACATTGATTGGGATCCAAATGTCACTTCCTCATTCTCTCTCGCGCTCTATCTCTCCTTCTCCCTAAGCCTCCACCACCTTGCCCAACTCTGTGGAAATATATGCACATTTCAGTTTTAACAGCTCTACCAAAAAATCAATGCAGTTACAATATCAATGCTATCAATTTGCATAAACCCTAACACAAAAAACAAAGCCAATTCATTTTTCTACATTAATTTGCTTACTGAATAATCGTACAAAAAAATTGAACAGAAATAAGATGAAATTAAAATCGAAAGCAACAAAATAATAAAAAGTGGAACAAAAATAGACCAAAAAAATCGCCCAGAAATCGCATAAATTCGATCAAGAAATCGCTCAAAAAAATCGCTCCGAAATGCGCTCATGAAATTGCTCAGAAATCACATACATTCGATTAAAAAAATCGCTGAGAAATCGCATAAAATCAATTAAAATCGAACATAAATAAAAAAATCAAGCATAAATCAAACATAAAAAGAGCATATAAATCACAAAAATCAGGGAAAAAATTGAGAAAAAACGCATAAAAAATGCAACAAAAAATCATGAGAATATAATGAATAGAAAGAATTGAATAACAAACCTTTATTTCTTGAAGTAAACCCTAATTTCTTGAAGGAATTTGCACCCAAAATTATGAGAGGAGAGAGCTGTTTGATGTAAGTCTAGAGAGAGAAAAAAGAAAGGGGAAAGAAACCTACGATCGTGAATGAAGAGAAAGAAAGGGGAAAGTGTGCATCAAAAATTACAAAAGTGCCATTACTAACCGATTCATTTTGAGTGGTAAGATCTAATCTAATCCAACGGTCCAGATTAGTTCTTACATATAATGGATTCTCACAGAGAGGAGGAGTTCTCATATGATCCCATATATATATATATATATGTACATATATATATATATATACACATATATATATATATATATGTAATGCAAATAAAGTATGGTTAATTATGTGGGAAGTACTAAGCTCAATTAAAATTGGTTAATTTGTGTAGGTTCATGTAATCCCAAGAGAAATGATCTTTGTGGGCATGCACTTGCTAAATACGTCGCTTTATCAACGACAGACGCTATAGTTACTTTTGCTAGCAAATTGAAGTATAGAAATTTGGCCAAGTAGGGAATTTATTGACCAGATGGTCCCTTTTTCTTGAAGGCAACCAAAGGAAGAAGCCCAGTTCTTGATGTAGGAATTATTTCCTAAATAAAATTCAATCTAGGGACATTAAGGTAAATTTTCTAGTTTAACTTATTTTTGTTGTTCATAATATTTGTAAGGAAATTTATTACTTTGTACTAAATTTTCGATTATTATTATTATTATTATTATTATTATTGTTATTATTATTATTATTATTATTATTGTTATTATTGTTATTGTTATTATTGTTGTTATTGTTATTATTGTTATTGTTATTATTATTATTATTGTTATTATTGTAATTATTGTTATTGTTATTTTTGTTATTCTTATGGAAAGGATTGGTAGTTATTATTCCAATTTCCATCATTTGGTAACATAAAAGATTTTATATACACCCAAGTGTAAGGTGCACCCAAGGGTATTTCTAGTTACTTAATATTTTTTGCTCATTTTAAGATCTTAAATTGAGCAAAAATATATCAAATGAGTAAAAATACCATCCTTGGGCACACCTACCTCTATATGCACCAGGGTGTACAATAAAGGTGTTCTTTGTAACATTACTTGGAAACGATTCCCAAAAATGCACATAATATTAGATGTGTAATCTTCCAATTTTCGCCACCAAAATTCTTTTTATAGATTAATTTAACAAATATATATCTCTTTATGGCATATTTTATCATGCTAAGTAGTCTAGAATTGAATATTTCTATATAAAACAAATTGAATTTAATTCAATTTATAATTCAATATTTTTATGCGAATGAAATTCTTATTTTAACTCTTTTTTTAATTAAATTTATAGATTTTACCAGGAGTTATAAGAATAAATGAGACAAATGTCATATTTGAATGTAAAGTTAAGTTAAATTTTGACGCAATAATATTTGCAACTTTATTTAAAAGCACCGCTTGTGAATGACTTAAGGTATGTATGAGATAAATCTTAGTAAATCTTAATCTCTTAACGTAACACTTTTATTAATGAAAATTTCTTCTAAGTTTATATATTATATCCAATAGAATATTATTATCGGATAAAAGCTAAATCATAATTTTTTTTGTAGAATTATGATTATGTATTGAAAGGTGATGGATTTCCAAAGAATCGTTTCCCAAACTGCTGGAAAGGAAAGATCTAGAATAGATTATATTGTGGTGGAATATCAACAATGGGACTACAAGGTTCCTCAAAGGATGTCATAGCCATTACCAATGATATCGAGATGGTTTTAAAAGTTATGGTTGTCCCTAAAAGATATTAAGTTACCACATAGTATATCTTTAGTCCATATTGTTGAGTTTTTCTAGTTAGAAGTAATTTGTGTTTTTCACTTTTGACCTTAAGGCGATTATGATATTGTATTGTTTATGCATAGGTTTGGCTTTGTGCAAACTTGTTCATGCTCTAATATACATATGGGGCAAATATTTGGCTATATTTTCATATCCAAATAAATTGAATTTTTATATGATTGTCATAATAGTACTCACCGTCTTAATTATGATTTCAATATATACAGACATTTCCAGGAACTCTAATTAATTAAATGCAAAATATGTAATTGATAGAAGGTGAATGTTATGTAACATAACAATTTCTTTGCTAGAACAAATATATTCTTCAATAAGGTGAATACTAATAATGGTTTGCATCTTTTTGCAATCGAAATTAAAATTTCTCAATTTTCATTCCAAACTTCTCAAATTAGTCATTTTCCTATATTGGTTTGAAAAGCAGAGCATTGCTCAATTTTTGTAGAATTCCTCCAACAATTCCCTATTTCCCTACTATTTAGGCCTTGTTTAGTTCACCTTATTTTTACTTATTTCAGATTAAATAAGTTAAGATCAGATCAGATCAGAAAAAATAAGTTTAGATTAGATCAGATCAGAAAAAATAAGTTTAGATTAGAGCAGATCAGAAAAATAAGTTCAGATCAGATCAGATCAGAAAAAATAAGTTCAGCTCAGATCAGAAAAGTTCAGATCAAATACAAATTATTATTATTATTATTATTATTATAAAAATAATAATAATTATTATTATTATTATTATTATTATGATGATGATGATGATGATGATGGTTATTATTATTATTATTATTATTATTATTATTATTATTATTATTATTATTATTATTATTATTATTTTAATTAATAAATACACAAACCATAAACGATAATAATTAAAATTTCATTATAAGCTCCAAATCATAAACGTTTACAAATATAATTTTCATTACAAGAAGTTCTAAATTTCCCTCGCTATATTAAGTTGTACTTCGTTCATTACAGCTATACGATTCTCGTTAAAAAAATCATAATCTGCTCTTGGTTCGATTTCTATACCACTATCAATGGGTATATCCCTACAATTTCGAAATTCGGGCATATGGGTTCTAATATCTTTATCTTTTATTGGACTTAAATATCCAACGGTATTCGGATATCCAGAATCTATTAGATAATATTTTCCTGTTACAAAATAAAGTTATACGGCATATTAGTATAATGTCATGTATGGATTAAAAACATACACTATTCTAAATTATACCTGGAGGTGGATGGGAAAACCGAAATTCTGGTACGGTTAAACAATGGTTCCATACAGTAATATCATGAGCACTACCTTCAAATCCAATGTTGATAAGCGTGAAAAGTCTATCAAAGGAACAAGCAGCCAAAACATTCCATGTTTTTTTTTCCAGAACGCCCTCGATATGCCACACCATCATCATCGCTTACAACTGCATTTATATGAGTCCCATCCAATGCTCCAACACAATCCTAATAGTTCATTAACATTTAAAGATACATTTTATAAGTGATTATATAGTGCACATGCATAAAATAATACAATGACAATGCAAGATAATAAATATAATGTTTCTTAATACCTTAAAATAAAATTATCAAATATTCCAATTCTATTACCTTATACTATCTAGTAATTTTAATACTTATAGGTTTCTTTAAATTTTTTGTAATAATAATAATAATAAATAATAATAATAATAATAATAATAACAATAATAATAATAATAATAATAATAGTAATAATATTAATATAATAATAATAATAATAATAATAATAATAATAATAATCATAACAATAATAATTAAACATTAATATTGATTAACATTAAAAGTAGAATATTGAAATAATTAAAATAAGTTCAAATCAGAAAAAATAAGTTCAGATCAGATCAAATCAAAAAATATAAGTTTAGATCAGATCAGATCAGAAAAAATAAGTTTAGATCAGATCAGATAAGAAAATATAAGTTTAGATTAGATCAAATCAGAAAATATCAGTTCAAATCAGATCAGATCAGCTTAAATCAGGTGAACTAAACAAGGCCTTCGAAAGGTTTTTTATTTAATTTTTCCTTCTGCTTCTGAAAATTTCATCATACACCCGGGTGGCCGGGTGTACCATGTGCATGATACACTAGGTCAAAATACAAGGGTTATAAACAACGCGGAAAGAACATTGTGTACAAACATAAAGTACACGAGCAAAAAAATTCCAAAACGATTTCATCCTTGGTTTAAGGGATTGATTTGTTATTTATACTCTTTGATTTATGAAATTGATTTATTATTTGCATTCCATATTACTTTAAATTTATTTATTTTTGTTAAGAGAGAGAAATTGAGTTGCTATATAGCAAGAAACTATGGTAAATTTTGAATTTCGAAGTGATCCTATTTTATTACGGAGTTGATTCATTTTACAGTTCTAATAAATCATATAATCAAAAGATGTAATTGACTAATTCGTTGTTGGGAGAAAAGGTATTTTGCAATTTTTCAATTATTTTTTCTTTCTTCCTGTTATTTTATGAGGTTGAAGATGATGTTATTCATATTATGATGAATGTTCTTTTATCATTTCTTGGATCCATATTTTTTGAATTGAAATGGAATATGTTCTTTAAATCTGATTAATATATTTATTCTTTGAGTCTGAACAATATTTTCTTTATATTACAAACAATAGTTTTTAAAGGTATTTATAATAGACTAAACATGTTGTTAACATATCAATAATACATACAAATTGTGTTTTTTATATTACAAATAATGTTCCTTTATCATTAAGATGAATATTATAACTAAATATAAAAATTAAAAAAATGGTGATAAAATGTGATCAATGTTTTAGAGAATATTTTAAAAGAAAATGATTGAAATAATTTGGAAACTGATAATTTGAAAGTGAAATTTTAAATTTTGAAGTTTGAATTTTTGAAATTTGAAAAGGAAACCTTGAATTATTTTTAGTTGAAAATAATTTTAGATAAAGAAATTCTGAAAACTGAATATTTTGGAATGATTTGACGCTAAATGCATGGTAAAAACCAATTATTAACTATCTTTTACCTTATTTATAAACTATTTCTCAGAAATAAATTGTGTTTTTTTAAATTTTAATTTTGCGTTCTTTTATAAATTCATAATATTTTTTTTTTTGGTGTTTAGAGAGCCCAGAGGTGTTTAGAGAGGCATAAGGGCAGAGATGAGAATCGTTCCCAGGATCTCCTAGAATCAGGAGGGAAGCTCTAACCACTTGA